TAGGGTAGAAAAACAGTAAATATGCAAAGAGGAGTGGGAAAAATTGTGTTGATAGACGCGGTACAGGTCAGTCTAATATAAACATTTTTCCTCTCTCCAAAGGAGACTTTCTTGTCTTGGAACATTTTTACTTCATGATTAGCAAATTCTAATTGCTTGTTGAAATCTGAAACTCTATCAAGCTCAAATGGGCATACAGCTCTATTAAGCCCCCTCTCTCTTTTAAGCCCCCCTTTAACAAGCCAAAATTTAAAATAAGCCTTCCTCTCTATTAAGCGCCCTCTCTATTAAACCCCCCCTTTCTATTAAGCCCCCTTCTTTAGCCCTTGATTTTGAACAAAGAAAACATGCGTGTTGAGTAAGGTATCTTGGTAGGTGTCATGATGACAAGATCATATGCATTAGATATGGCCCATGTAATGATTTCCTTGTGCACCTTAGAATTCAAGAGAATACTGATGTTGATTCTTTAATAGAAATCCCAGAGCGTAGTGGCCTTTTTATATATTTTTGAATAATTAATAAGCCCCCCTCTCTAATAAGCCCCCTCTGTGTTAGGCCACCCCTCTAGGACTTAAAAAATTTATAAGCCTCCCAGGGATTAATAGAGCTTTAACAGTACCCTTGATTTTGAAACATTAAAAACTTTTACCCCTCTATATCCGATAACATCAAAAAATGCAAACAATAACAGACACTGTATATTTGAACCATAAAAGTTGTAGAACCAAAACTTTGAGATAGGATTTTTTGATGAAGGATTTAGTTAGCAGAGAAAGTATCTCAAGTGAGGAAAAACCTTACCACAATCAGTCTTGTATCTTTTTTCAGTCACTCATCCTTGATCGTCTGTATGTAATTAAAGATTCCATGTAGAATTATGCGGTTCCTGGAACAAGACAAAAATCAAATTGATACAAAAACTATGAACTGAAAAGCTTTTTAGGAACTTTTGAAATAAATCTATACGAAAAGATAAAAAATACAAGAGTGATATGCATAAGTTGCTTATATTATCTGACAATTATCTTATAAGAGGTTGACAATATAAATCAGAAACAAAATTGAGCTTTATTTTAAAGTTTGCAAGACAATGATGGATCGATGTTCACTCATAAGGCAAATAGACTCATCAGGGATTATTGATAGGAGGCAGGCACATAGACATTAGTGGAAATGTGGCAGGATTAGAGAACATAGAGGCCAGAAAGAGTGGGAGGGAAGGATTAAAATTTGGCATCTTTGAATACGGCTGTCCTTCTGATGTGAAACAGGAACCAGTTTCAAAAAGTGTGAATTGAGTCAATGTACAATAAACAACAGTTATAAGTGAGAAGAGAGCACACTAGCTTGTTTGGGTTAGAATTAAGAACAGGAGGTGAATGTACAAAGTACATAAATCCATTGTAAAGTTAAATAGAAGCAGAAAGAAGAAGGATAAGCTTTGTAATTACAAAATTATCATTTAAGATAATATTAAAGTGAAAAAATGACCAGACTCAAAGATTGCTAATAAAACGGAAGCCCTCGCAATTAAAACAGTAGCAGACAACAAGGAAGAAACCGAGTTGAAAATAAGGATAAAAGGTTGGTCTATTTGAGCACTAATGTTGCTCTAAGCTTCAAATACCTATGTCTAGACAAGAGATCACTTAAGGGAGAAGATCAGAAGGAAGATTAAACAGAATTGGTGAACCATATGACTTCTTTTTATCTTTTAATGATTCTTAGAGTTTTCATTATCAGCCTTTCATATCAATGTCACTACACCTGGTGTACATTGCCCTGGCAATCATGAAAGCGTTTCCTTACTCCATATCATACAATCTGATAGGAAAGTTTCATGCTTTTCTGATAGATTTCAATAATAAGAAAAAGCTACATGTACAGATTGATGTTCAAGGACAAAGTTGTGTATTGTGGTGTGAATCAAGGCTGCAGTGGTATGACTTGAACAAGAAGAATATCTGAGAGTATCTCAAAAACAATAGAAAAAAGTTACCATGTGGCACTTACTCTAACTGGGTCCATTACAGTACTAATGGGAAGAAGTCAGACACCAATACTACAGTGACAACCCATAATGATGATCAAAGTGGGACTAAAGTTGAGTTAATTGAATTGTTTAATGGAAGGGGACTTGGAAAATGAATGATCTTCTCTGAAAAAGAGGCGAAGAAAAAGGTTTTCTTCATGAAAAAAATCTTATAATGTTTCCAACAGTTTGGGCTCCTAGACTTACCTGGCACACATGGCATTGCTCCATACTGGCTGTTCATCATCTATTTGAAACAGTGCATTGTCCATCCTCCTCAAGTAATCCATTACCATCTCATCAATCTCAATTGATACTCTGATTTTCTAGAACTAGTATGATATAGCAACATCACGCAACATCATTTTGGATAGGATAAACCTTAGAATACTAAATACAAACAAATCTAAAGACAGAAAGTTTCATCCAGACATTATAAACATTCTTCTTTGCAGTTTGGAAATCTCAACAAAATTATTAAGGGGCTTAGAAGATTCCATCTCTTGTTTTCTTTTTAATGAAAACCAGTTGTTTTCAAATACATCAAGGTTTTGACTTTGATGGTGTTATTGAAAGACCAAATGTTATTGTTCTTGGAAATTTAGGTCACAGTTGCAACATAACAAGGTTTAACGTCTTACTCTGATGAAGCCCTGTATGCCGGGGAGAAATATTAGAGTATATTCTTTAAATTTAATTTATTTTGAAAATTTTGTTTCCTGACATTGGATTCTTCTTGTCGTCGTATTGCTTTGTTCCTGTATATCTTTAATGTCTTGCTTGAAAATAAATGGTATTTGCAAAGAATTATTACTTGTCACAAATGATTGGACAAAAACCAGCTTGTAGACGCCATTAGGCCTAACCAATAGTCAGCCTGTCCTGGCCTATCATTATTTGAATTTTAGTCGGCCTTGATAACTCATTGTTCTTGTAAATAACATGTGTTGTAGACTTGCTGCAACCAAACTTTCTTTCTGTTTCATCAAACAAATGAAATGCTAGACTCAAATTCTTTATTGTTTCTCATTCTCTTTCTGGTTGTTTTTGCGTTTTGAGCATTGAAACTAAAACATTGGTATTTTTCATTTCTCCTTGACAATTTGTTACCTTTCTGTCATAGAAAGGTAAGAAATAAATTGAATTTGATAGGATTTGCATTTTTGCTGAGGCAATTTCTAGAAACCCGTCAAAACAACAGGATTTGTTCAATCAATGTCAGAATACTAGTTTTAGGGATGCCATTTTGTTATTCATCGTCCTAATACTTTTGTCACACAAGTGTACAATATATTTATTCATAGTATTCATTGACATTTTGATATATATATTATAACTATAGTATATTATATGTATTCATTGATATTTTGGTTCACTAGAGGCCCAAGGTGCGAGCACAACAAGTCCAGCGTCGCTGCAAGCTCTCCAGCCTGGAACTGTGGAGTACAATTTTTATCTTATTCTTTTCATGTTAACTATGAATGTACGTGGCTTCCAGAGTGCAAAGCATTTTTTTGTGTGTGAGGAATTATTTTTTGTCACTTACGCTTGCGTGGGAACAAATCATGTTGCAAAATGACAGGTTGCAAGCTGTGGGATTTCATTTTTAAATAGCATTTTTAAGGCACGAAAGTCCATGTTCGAACTGCGCGATTTAATCTAAATTGCAAAAATGCATGGACAGGATTTGAGCAAAAAATTATTGCGTTCCCCGCGCATACCTAAACTTTGAAGTCTGGCGAGGCTTCATGTTTAGTATGCCAACTAACAAAATTTTATGTATGCCAAAAAAATGTTTATAATTTGTTTACACGCCGAACAAAAAAAAAACGTTCCACTACTTAGCGTGTGACATTCGAATAGACATTCAAATAGACATTAGCATAGACATTCAGACTTCGATTCCTTCTTACAAAAAAACTAAAAGATATTGAAAAGATTTTATAGTGGGGAACTTGGCTGAATTCTCTGTTGATTCGTGTATCTTGTTCATAACATGGAATGGAAATGTTCATACATGGAATGCACCCTGGTAAAAATATATAAGAACCTTTCTAAGCTTCAGCTTCTTGGGGGGTCTCGTTTAGGGGGTTTAGAAGATTAAATTTCAGCCTCAAGGTTTTTACAAAAACAGGTTCTTCTATGCGCATATGCGGGTTAAAAATAGGACAAAAAACATTAATTAATCTTAAAATAGGACAAAAAGACATAGGCAAATGAACTTATCTAATAAAATGTTAATTGGATCAGCAAAAGTAATCAAAGTACGCAAACTGAACTCACTTTTCCACCTAATCTTTCAGCTTCAAACTGCTCTTCTATGTAGGTTAACTTTGCCGCCATTTTGACCGTACAAATATTCCAATCGAGGCAACTTTGGGAAGGAGGTCATCACTCATCAGCTAAGATCGGAAAATTTTGTTCGATATTGTTGCAAAATAATTTGATATCAGCAGTTCCATAACATTTAAAAACAGATAGGGTTTTGTAAATAAAAATGTAAATATGCAAACCTGCTGGTACTCAAAGGCACAAATCTTATATCAATTTGGACAAAACTTTAAAATTCTCTTGGATTTTGAGGGACTGCATCTCACCCAAAGTCAGATGGCAGCATCATTTCGAAACGATTCTAAAATTCTCACAATTATCAGCCACTGATGACAAGTTTGCAAATTTTTTCACGATTTCCCATCAGAGTTTTTACCAGTAACTTGCCAACTTCATTTCACAATAGAATGGCTAGTAGACAAAGAAATGAATCCTGGTAAAAAATTCCAGAACAGATCGCAGATTTCTGGATACTTTGATTTATTCTTGTATTTTTCCTTATTACCAGGCAAACAACAAAAATAATGAGAATATTGTGAGCCTTGCTATAATTGCGATTATAGGTAGGCAAGACATTTCATATTAATCAATCAACTGGAACAAAACAAGTCAATAGCTTCAGAAATACAGATAATTGCACAAATAAGGCATTTTTTAAGCCGACAAGAATAAAATGGTCATTCATAACGATCTATAGCCGCATAAATACACGAGATTTTAAAATTCAAATAAGGTCTAAAAAATACATGTTATACTCTCAATTGAGTAACAGCTATTATTAAGCTAAATAAAACCATAGCTAAAGTCCTACTGAATTCTAGGGAATGGCATTACAGGGTGAGCAAAACTTTCGAGTTATGGTTTGAAGATTCTTTCGCATTATTTCTTTAATAGAAAAACGTAGCTTTCCGAAGTAATAGGCACAGGACATCCCAAAATAAACCAGCCTCTTTCACAATAGCAAATCGAAGGGACAGATACGTCATATAAGATGGGGAGAATGATGGCAGATAGCACGCTTGGTTGCAAGGCGAATTCTTTTGGGGAAGCTAAAAGGGGTGTTTGGAATGGGTAATAAGAAGGGATGTGTTGCTATGTGTACAAGGGGTCTCACGAGACGTTTATAAAAACAATGGCAAAATTAAAAAAGGGCTACTTTTTGGTCTTAACAAGGGGAATACATTTAAACTAAGCCCCCAGCTCTTCCCCTCTTTTACTGAGATAATTTCAACTGGTTAGGGAGATAACAGCGATACAATTCTGATTGGCATGAAGAAAATTTCTTGCATTCAAAAACACTAACATTTGTATATATTGATCAACTTTTGAGCAAGGTCAAAAATAACTAAAGCGACATATGTTAATTTAACTGTAATATGATTATGTTCCTAGGTTCTTTCGAAAAAATAATAAAACGAGAAGGCAATATATGGCAATACTATTAGTAATGCGATTGTAAAGCAGGTGAATTTAATGCTTTCCTATTTGCAAAAAATATACCCTCAGATGCAATACCCTCAGAATATGTAAAGGTTAAAGAATATTTCATTGATGTAATTAAATCTTAACTTTATTCTAAAAACTGTAAAATAATTTTCAAAAGCAAATTATTTCTCTTTTTTCAATATTTTACTTCAGATAATACCAACAAGTGTATGATGCAACATGTCATACAATTTGCAGTCATACAATTTTCGCTTCATGTATATTTGTATGCGAATAACATACATGTGGCAGACCTATAAGGTAGTAGTAACATAAGTCAAAGCTATATTCCATTATTGCTACATATATATCACTGAGCCAATAGCCATTATAGCTTCGTTTAAGCGTTATTATGTGATATGCAATCTATACACAATATATTTATTTAAAGTAAACATAATCACATCAAACTGGAAAAACATAATTGTCTGTGTCACATGACCAGTGGAAATCACAGAAACCAAACGATGACACGACTCACAACAGAGGTAGTAGCGAAAAAGAGGCTCGCGGAGTAAGTCCATAACATTAACGTAATGGCTGCTTCAAGTGATACAAACAGGTCACGTGATACAAACCGGTCACTTGACATAAACTGATCACATGACATACGATATTCAATAGGAAACATTAACTCCAAATTTACTCTAGATCTACTGCATTAAATAAAGAATTGAAATTGTCAAATTTATAACATTAAATCAATTGAAGCGATTAAAATGAAAGATTTAAGAGCTAAAAAATTAACCGCAAACCTGTACAGTAAATGTCACTTTATGAATTAGGAGAGCTCCGTGTTGAGCTCAGTGCAATTCTTGAATTAATACTTTTTTCCAAATGCTCACTAATATCAGGATCTGACATTGAAATCGCGTGCATGAGCGACTGCAAGATCAAAAAATGCGACAATTAGAATAAAGAATGGTTTCCATACATTTGTGCATTCAAATCAAGCAGTCCACGAAATACCCCTCCCATCACATAATCGAGTGTCGTTTGGTTTTTTAAGCAAATCTCATCAAAAAAAGCCTGGTGTGATAGCTCGATGATGGCACACTGTCCTCAAAGTACAAGCTCGAATCCCGGCATAGATGGGTAATTTGATGCCCGAGTAACAAGGAGGGTACCTAGCTCTTGTCTACCCAGCAGTCAGTAGGTACCTAGCCGAAGCTAGGAAAGCAAAAAGAGCTGAACAGCTTGTAATACCCCATCCCCTTGGCATACAAGACCTTGCAAGGCGGTGCTACTTTTTTAGCTATTTCTCCAGGCAGGGCAAATCAAGCAATAAATAAATATTATTTTTTTTCTCTTTGATGTCTAAGGGAAGCTTGCAGCCAAATATAGTATTTGTCACTCTTTGTTACTGAACCCTCAAATCTTTACTCGCAATAATTTGGCTTCAAGGTTCCCCTAACTTGTAGCTTGAATGTTATTTTATTCGTTTTGTGTAATGGCCTCGGGGAAGACATAGCTTACTGATCTCCGGGGTTTCGTTCTAGTAGTATTGTATAGTAATTTTGTAAGTAGAGTGTTTCGTAATCTGTAAATTGTAACTTTTTAGAGAAATAAAAAAAAAATAAAAAAAATCAAGCAAAAAGAGAACTAGATCATTTGACATGGCATTCTGATTACGGTAACCGACAAAAATTTGCGCTTTACAACATACAATAAATATTGCAAAGGAGATGTATAACAAGGCTTTTAGAACTCCTTCAGAATATCCTAAACGACAAAATTTTCCAACAAAAGTAAACAGTAAGTAAAAAAAGGAATCGTTTTGGAAGCATATAGTCCTATAGCGGTTGACTGACTTTGGAGATTGGACTTTGGAGGATGGGTACGCAATTTACAAAGAAGCGGTTATCTTGTCAACATGTTTTACTGTGTTTTGAATTATGTAACAGCAGCTGTTTTAAAAAATCATGGGTTCCATGAAGCTAAAAAGGATTTAGGCAAACATACCCTGTGATGTCTTTGTGATTCGGGCGACCTTGGTGGTGTAAGTGTCACAACTGGACGCTTTACTCGGCCAAATTGAGGTGAACCATCCTTGAACGCATCACTTCCCATTTGCCGGTCTACTTCCCACGGATAGCCCTCTGACCGCCTCTCAATGACAAGACGCCTAGAGCTTCCATGAAGATTTGCCCCCGTCAACCTACTTTGTTCTAGAGAGGATTTTTTGAAAGCAGCCGACAATGAATCCGGTTTCGGGGGTATTGGAGGTGGTGACACATTCTCTGAATTCTCCTCGTGACCTGAACATGGTAAAGGCGTCGAGTTTGGGGATCGTGGTTGCACCTTCGGGGGTGTATTTGTGTACGGCCGAGTAATGCTGCCAGAATCGGTGGCAAGATTAGTTCTAGGAAAAGATAACTGCTCCCTCGGTGAAATAATTGCCTGCGATTGGTTGCGGTCGGGAAGGGGTGGGGGCGATGAACGGCTCCTTGATCTACATCTTTGAACCTTACCTTCAGTACTCCTGGGTGGTCGTGCCGGAGCATTGCTATTGAATGCTGATGATAGAGGGGGCAATGCCCCGGCTCTTTCCGTGTCATTTTCATTAGAGTCAACGATGTTGGAATTATGGAATTCTGGAGGCAAGGGACTCATGCTCAACATCGCGCGGGAATTTTCAATCCCTCCAGCACATTCAACCTCTTTGATGACCCTGCTTTTCGGGAAACTTGGCACTTTCCATGTGCATGCTGAACAATTGAAGAGGCACATATCGCGTTCGAGGTCATACGGGGATTTCATCGACAATGTTGGTTTTAAACCTTTATGTCTACTGATAGAAAGATCGGTAAGCGACGATACAGCATTAGATTGCGTAAGGCCTAAAATTGTTTTGCTTCTTTGTTTTCCTATCTGTACTTGCGTTGGCAATTGACATTCATTCGCTAACAATTCAGACAAACTTCTTGGTCGCTCGTGCACTCCATTTTCGTTTATAGAATTATTCGGTGAAAGATGTTGCTCTCCATCCGTAGCATCGGTAAAGCTAACCTCGTTTATTTTTTCGAGACGAAGCTTCCACTGCGTGCTCAACGCACTGCCTTGCAAGTCCTCCTCGGATGTAGCTGACGTGATAAATTCCCTCGAGCCTACCGCGGGCGCACTCGCTCTTCGCGCCTCGTTAATTTCTGTTGGCTTTCCCTGTATGCCACCAGTGCTGTTGCTTTTAACAAAATTGTTCCGTTTTTGTGGTTCTGTGAGGTCGGCTACAACTTGCGCTAGAAGGGTCGACGCCTCATCTGAACTTAGCGGTGTATCTCCCTCTTCGTCGTGTATGATATCAACATAAGAGTACCTTTTCGTTTCTTCCTCGAACTCGTTCGAAGAATTTTCGTTATCACTTCGCGAATCGATCATAGTTTTTCCAAATGTTGACGATGTTTTCCAACTTTCCGCTTTTGATGTTGCCACAGTTGTTGTCACGGTGTCTTCAAGTGATTCTTCGAAAAAAAATATATCTTTACTAACTCTGTCAACGTCACAAACCGAAGCGTTTACCTCAGGTGTCGCAGAAATTGGATGTAATGTTTTACCCACTGCTTTCCCCATGTTGGGTAAACTGATTTCAGGACTAGCCTCACGGCCTACGTCGACTTGGTTTATGACGCGTTTACTGACTATGCGGCGCGGCCGAACTGACACGGTAACGCTACACTTTTCCTCCGACTGACTGCGACGAACAGCAGGGTGAACTGCTTCGGCATCGGAGTCCGAAGAATTTCCGCTCGAAATACTCTCGGTTGAAGTCGCTCCTCGGATGTCTCGAATGATTGACTCGGCGTAGCGTGTTTTCAAACATAATCTTCCTATCCCAAAATGGCAACGCCTTGAAAAAAAAGTGACTAAAAGTTATCAATTACAGCGCGCTACTGTTGATAACATTAAACCATAAAGAAGATTGATGAAAGCAATGCAGTAGATTCCGCCTTAGATAGATAAAGCTCGCCCGGAAACACCCACGATCCACCCATGCTAAACCCATTAACTCATACTGCCATTTCACTGTAAATTTCGCTGTCTGTCTGCAAAAAGGTCCTGTTCCACTAAGACTGTTGTACAAATATAGATATACGAATCTCCCGTACAAAGGCAGAGATTTCCACAAAGCGCTGTTTAAAAGAAAAGCTCATTTTTTATGCAAACTCAATCTGACAGCAAATGCTGTAGTTTCGCTTCCTTATTAGTTTGAAGAAAGTAGAGACATCTTTATTTGTTTGAAACACAGACTGCATACATCAAGGCAATCTTAAAGATGTGAGGGTCTGTGCATATGTGACAATTTCATCTAAACTAAACTAAACTAAACTTGCCAAGACTAAACTTGGCCTGGATTGGTCACAACCTAGGCCTTCCGATATGAAAAAAATACATTTTCACGTGAATATGCGGCTGGGTAAGCTCAAGGCAATTGCATTGTTGAATAACATGAAAAAATACATTTAGCATTAACATTTCTATAAAATGGATCCCATAATTCCGCAAGTATCTTCAAATAGTACCAATTATATTCCCATATTTCAAAAACTAATACAATATACTCTCGTTAAGTGGGACCCCGGACAAGTAGGACGCCCGCTAAGAAGTACACTTTTGCTCGGTCACTTGAACTTGCTTACCCTTTTCAAGCATTCGTATAAGTAAGACGCCCGCTAAGTAGTACACTTTTGCTCGGTCACTTGAACTTGCTTACCCTTTTCAAGCATTCGTATAAGTAAGACGCCCGCTAAGTAGTTCACTTTTGCTCGGTCCCTTGAACTTGCTTACCCTTTTCAAGCATTCGTATAAGTAAGACGCCCGCTAAGTAGTACACTTTTGCTCGGTCCCTTGAACTTGCTTACCCTTTTCAAGCATTCGTCTAAGTAGGATGCCTGCTAAGAAGTACACTTTTGCTCGGTCACTTGAATGTCCCACTTAACGAGAGTATACTGTACTGACAGCTATTATTCCAAAAAATTGAAAGACACAAAAACAACTGACCAAAGAAGCTCCCTTAACAGGATTTCCGTTTGATGCTTAAAATATTTCATTTCATTGCGGTTGGGTTTTAAGAAAAATTAGTACCGGCAGTCTCAAAATAATGAAAAGAGAAGAGTAATTTTGTTAAAGTATATAAAAAGCATGAAAGTTGGCAGATGACCTGATGACCAGAATCAGACTTATGAAGACAGAAATAATAACGACATGATTGTAAACAAATTTCAATACAGAGAACACACTGTTTCTGCGCCGTCATAAATTACAGACAACACGAGATCGTCTATATTTTTCGACTCCCAGTCGCTATCAAGTAAGTCATACTTCCACCAAAGATTGTTTTATAAGTGGTCTAGAGAAAATTCTTAACTTTAGCCAGTGGCGGACACCTATGGGGGGCAAGGTGGACCAGGGGGCAGTTTCCCGCCAATATTTTGGAAGATAATAATCTTTTGTTCTAAAACAATGTGAAAATGTGACGTCATCTTGTCAAAGCAATAGGCTTGCCCCCCCCCCGAATATTTGACCAAGTGTCTGACCCTGACTCAGGCCATGTGTAAAAAACAAAAAAGGACGACAGAGCACTTACCTCCCTGTTTCCAAAACCACTATTTGATGCTCTGGTTGACTTTTAAAGCCACGAAGATGAGTGAGCGGCCAACTCAATACGTATTCCTTCCCATCGATTTGCTTCAGAAAAATTCGAGTCTTTGACACACGTAAAAGGTAACCTCCATGGAGATTATTGTCTTCAGCAAGCGCTGTTTTCTGTATTACAACTTGGTAGCCTTTGTTTTCTATCAAGAAAGTACAGAGAGGTTAACTTTGAAGAGAAAGGCATTACTCTTTAGAGTCGGAAATAAATGGGAATGATAGGTTAGCCCTAAATGAAAAGGGATCACTTTCTAGTGATTTCGGGAAAAATCCGGAAAGCTGGGATAAGGGAGGGGGAGAGCTCTTTTTGACAAGTCCAGAATTCAATATATGTTTAATCAAAGGAAGTCCTTGTTTATGAAGAGCAAATTAAATTAAAATTATTGTAAAACAAGGACCTTTCGAATTTCTAACCGAACATTCTCGTCAGTGATAAAGGAGTTATAAAATAAGAAGCAGGGGGATCTTCAAAAATTTCGAAAACACGGGGATCCTGTTTGTTCCTGATCACAGACAGGAGCTATTCTTTAGAGCCTAAATTCACTGGTAGAATTTGATGGTGGAATATATCTGACAGCTTGCAACTGACAAGACCTTTTATTTTGTTTGTGAGTTCTGTTGAGATAAGTGAGTGTTTAGAGATGGTAAAAGTGGTTAAGGATTTGTTGCAATGTATTCTTGATATAAAACTAGGTAGAAGCAAAGTCATGATTGTAGGCGGGCAGCCAGACACTGCTTTAACGACACTAGGACACCTGGCGTGGGCGATAAAACTGACACATATGTGAGTAGGCATCAGTAACAGAGTTCAGGAAAGGGCTGATCCTTCTATGGCCAGAAATTCAAAACGCCTCTCTAAAGATAAATAAACAAAGGTATGGCTTGACTGTGGTATATGAAGGGCACTTGTTTTGTAACCTTTGTCCAGTTGTGTATTTGGGACAGGATATGTTTCAGGACTTGGGACTTATCATTTGAAATATAACCCAAAAACACATAACAGGGGGTAACGCACACGATGCCTGGGTAGAGCTGCCTCTTTCTCTGTGCAGCATGTCAAAAAATACTATCTGCAAATGTTGGATATTTTGTAAAAAAATAACCCAGTAAGCCTGCTGGAGTAGTGTAGGCTATTAATTTTTAGGGAATTGCGAAACTTTACACCTTGTGAACATCGTTGTTGATTTGTCAGCAAAAGATTTATCATTGAATACCTTAGGAAGATTAAAGGAACTTTACATCAGCTGAAGGAGGTAGCATTTAATAATTGCCAAGCTCAGGTCTGCAAAACATAGACGTGTTCCTTACAAGATAGGCTAAATTTATCGATTTAAGGGTTCAGATAATTAGCTGAACAATATTTCAGAAGCAAACTTGATCCCTTGGCCAGACAAATGCCAGGGAAGGCCTAATAAATTATTAATCAAGCGTGCATATACTTTGTTCCTGTAATCACAAAGAAGCGAAGAATACGGTGTCGCCAAGCATTTTTTCTCATGTCATACACCTAAAATGGTAGATCAGTTGATGTATAATCTTTCTGATTGTTTCTGGATGCCAGGGGCGTAGCTAGGTGGGCTGTAGGGTGTGGACATCTTCCGATTCTTAATGTTTCGTCGGTGAAAATTAGCCTAGCAGTAGATGAATGATTTCAATTTCAAGTCAAGGAGAGATTTTTGAGGCTAACTGTAGGAGGGAGATCTTGTATATCACTGCGGAATCAAAGGCTTGGTGAAGAAGATCTTAGCTAGAGAGATCTTGTTGAGAATAAAATGCAAGAAATACTGAAGCCATGCAGAAAGATCTTTGTGGAATCGAAAATTTTTGGTGGAGCTGCTGACTAGTTTTTCGGCTCAGTGGAGAACAAGTTCCAATATTTCACAATAACACACGTCAAGGTGTTTTTGACAGCATAAACGAATCTCTGGTCGCCTAGGGTCAGGGAACGCTCTCCTAATATGACATCTAGTGAAACATGATACCTAGAAACCTCATTTAGTATTCCGGCAAAATAAGATGCCTGTGTAAGGGACATTGCCACCTCCTTTGTCCAGAGCAACTCTTTGATATTTCCAATAGAAGAAAACACTGCCGTCTTTGTAAGAAAAATGTATTCTCCATTACCCAGAGGCTTTTCTGGGCGATTACAAATAGCTGAGAGCATAATTACCTAATGCAGATTTATCATTGTTTTCTTCTGGCTTTGCATCACCGTAAAAACCAGCAACTGCGACTGCCCTTCCTTGCCGCGCTGACCCTGAAGGTCCACCCTCTGGACTTGTTCTTCCATGGGCAAATGCGGAGTCTGTGATTTCTTCTGTGTAGCGTGAAAACACCCCAATCCATTCAGCTCTGAGGATCTCGTTATCACAAGCGAAGAATAATGGCGATCGGCCTAAAACCACAACTTGGAATGCATATTGTTTTGACCTGCAAATGTTTAAAGCGATTTAAATATAGATTGTTAACAGGATGAGGCAAGCAGCCAAAAAGTACAAGAAAACCACAAATAAAACCCAGGGCTTTCAATGGGGGACGCGCGACACGCCCAAGGTTATCTTTGGGAGCGTAAACTCATTCTCTTACAAGATTATCGATACAAATGCCAAGAACTCCACTAGCTTCCGTGAAAAGTCCAATTGTCTTACTATGGCTCCAGAATATTTGGCTAAAACAGATTTTTCTGTTCGCGCACATGAGAATTACATGCAGTAGGTTTTCGCATTTGAAAGCAATTGTATGCGAGAAACTAAGATGAAAATTTCGTTTGAAAGAAACTTACGCGAGGTAAAAAGAACATGATTGACAGAACACGATTGACAGAACAAGATTGACAGAAAATATACTTTTTCATGTATATTGAAAAAGCTGCTGGATTTTGAAAAAGATACGTCAAGTATCTTTTTCAAAATCCAGCAGCAAAAAGTTAGGCCCTTAAGGCAACAAAATGGTTTCTTAAAAAAACTTGTTTTCAAATTGTCAATTTTCAAACACAAAAGATATGAAGATGGAGACTACTACAACCACTCCAAGCCAACATCTGGTAACACGAAACCTGGTAAAAAGTAAACAGCTTTGGTAGATATTTGACTTGTTTAGATAATGAAGCACGTACCTCTCAGGTTAACCAAAAGCCCACCCCTAGAAACGAGGCCAAACACTAAACAGCCTCGCTGCCTTCCGCCGTCCTCTGGACAACAACAACTTCGTGAATGTTGGTATTCTATACGCATTGTTTAAAGGATAACCTTGTTTTTCTTCCATTGCTTTTGTTTCATCGACTAATAAATTCAGTTAAAAGTTTTACGTCATACTTTCTACTTCTTTTAATTCTAAGAAACAATCTCTCCAGATGTCTTGCTTGAAAAAATCTGGTTTTTAAAGTTGATTGTGATATCAAGATGGTATCTGGTTTCTTTCAAAAAGATGCGCGGATCCGGATTAAAGAAAATAGAAAAAGGGGTGAAATAGGCTTACAATTGATTTAAATCTTTTGGAAAAAGACATAACTGTGACGTGGGTTAAGCCAGACAGTAAAATCTATTAAATCATTTAGAAAATAGACAAAAATAAACGTAGAGAGAAAAAAAGGTACTTCACGTATTCTAAAGGTCAGCTTAGAAATTTGAACTCTGTTACTACGTTGGCTATAATAAGATTATGAATTCTTAGAGGCTACTTAAAGGAGAATTGCACTGTATAATGAACTTGAAAAAGAAGTCTCTTATTTTGAATCCCTTAATTTGTAAAATCTTTAAAGCCCCGTTTACACTACACCAACTAACCTGGTTTCTCCCAGGGTTTGTTTACACTACATTTCGTGAAAGCTAACCCAGGTTCGCCCCAGGTCGAACCCACCTCCGAAGAAGGGTTAGATTAACCCGGGGCAAACCCAGGTTAGTTGCGTTTACACTACAAAAATCTAACCTTGGCTAGTTCTAGCCCGGGGTGGACCCAGGTTAGTTGGTGTAGTGTAAACGGGGCTTAAGCCGACATGTTGATCGATACGTTAAGGATCAATGGCTCGTTTGTTCAAGGAATAATCCTTTTTTGCAATTTGAAGATAAGATTCCATCTTTGTATGACGTCAATTCACGTTTATGAAAGCGAATTTGTTTATATAATATAATCAAATTGTTTACCCCATACCTAGGAATAGCACTATTGGTCAAATTTAGATCGAGGGGGTCACAAACATAAGCCCCCCCCCAAGATATTGGTTTACATCCCCGCAGTCGGCAACCAAATTCTCTCGCCTTGACTGATAGCATCGGCACATGTGTTAACTTTTGGGCACCGATTCCCCAAACTTCTGAATGCAAAAACCCTTGGTGTATCCTTCTTTGGTAGTTATGAATAACGCCTCGCCGGCTATTGGGTATTACCCAACAACACCCCTGTTCATTGCTATACACGGCAAGAAAATTTCAGGTTAACTAGTTGACACGTTCCCCCAGTTTTCGGCAGGATCACTATTGCCTTCGTCAAAATTCGATGAGAAAATATTGGGGAAGGGGTAATGTTTAAGGAACATATTTTTGTGATGTAATCCTATGATTTAGAAACTACCTTTACGTAACCAAAAGTTGGTCATTAGCATTCCAAAATTGGCGTTCCTTCTTGGTAACAGGGTGTTTTCCGACAGTAAAAGGGACAGGGCCTAAAACTTTTTGTTTTTTCCAACGCAACTAGGATGTTTTTCCAAGATCCTAGTTGCTGGCCGCCCCTGTGGATAACTGCCTTACTGGAAAAGGTTTCGAAAAACTTTCCTGAGCCATTTTGAAGTGAACAAAGCAAAAACGGGGCACTAGACCAGCAGGAAGAGCATTTTGGAAATCTGACATGATAAAACATCTTAACAAAGTAAACCAGGATATACGAAAACGGTGACCAAGCAACCATTAACATCCGTCAAGTAAGATTATAGTTCTGCTATCAATTTTCGCAGAAATGAAGTTGATATATACGTCACTGAGTATTTTCCTTATTGACCTGCCTGTATAAAATGACACACATCCATTCATTCAAGTTTCTATAGAAAGAGCAATACAAAGAATTCATGCATAATGGTCATCTCGTTTCAAGGAGGGACCAATGACAATTTAAAACAGCCCAAAGTTCATTTCAACGAATACGTAAATTGTTCAACCTAGGCAGGTTTATTTGCATACAGAGGCGGATAATAAGCTGATCCGATTGGGGCAGTCTGTCGCAGGGCCGTTTGCTCAAAGATATTGCTTTGACCTTAAAGAAGGGGTGCAGTTCAGATTTAGGCTTTCTCTAAACCCATCATTTTCTGTACAGGAAAGAGCAATATCAAGCAAAAACAAAACTATATACGAGGGACAGCCGGTTTTTTTAGAAAAAGCCTAAGCATTCTTTGCTCGGACGATTTGAAAGTTGTTTAGATTTTTAGTCTCTTCTGATGTTTGTTCAATAAAATTCTTTCTTTGGGTGTGATAATTAAAATTTCTAGGTATCTTTAAGACAAATCACGACGGCGTTTTTTCCACCTTATTTCGAGTTTTTGTTATTCAGCCCATACACCCCTTATAGCCCAAAAGACACAGGGAGGGGGAATACAGCCCCCCCCCACCTCCAGCGTTCCTGATACAGACATAACCATAGAAATTGCAAATAAGTCCATTTAACAGAAATCACAAAATACGCCACTTGAAGGGTGTAGGTAGGAATTTAAAAAAGAGTGCCTCAAGCTGATAAAAAAGGGCACAAGTTACGCTTAAGGGCTGGAACATCTGCCCTGGAAGGAGGAAAGGCAAAATTTTGGAAGTTCTTGCAAGCTTGAGACTATTTTTGGTGGGAAGTATGGGTAAAAAGGGGAGTCAGTAGAGTCAGCCCCTACCCTACCTAATTCGTGGCTTACATTGCGAAATTTTAAAATCGCATGAAAAAGAGGGAATTTAAACTTCCTTAGTGTATCAAACATCACATTATGATAAACTCTAAACTGACATTCTACGATGTAAATTAAGAGAGCGTTAAATGCCCTATCTATTTTGAGCTTACAACATTTGAATGAAGGCGACAAAGCAAAGGTTGAAGTTATCAATCTCATTCCGCCCATACTGACTGAATAACCCCCACAGGACCATCCATTAAGGTTAGAAATAGGCTCATGATGCAGATTGAAGTATTGAATTACCTTGCTGTGTTGACTGGTCCAACGTGTTTTACGGTGTCCAAGAAAAGCGTCTGTTTGGCAACGCGCAAAGATGCATCTCGGTATTCATCTAACAGTAGGCCAGAATACGATGAACATTTCTTTAAAACGAAATAACCACTCTGCCAAGACTGAAAAGTGAAATGAATTCACAACATAAAACTGGAAGAATTAATCATGAGCCACACAGTAGTTGAAGTGGTTTGGGAATAGGTTCTGGCTTTCTATTAAAAAAGAATTGCCTTCATGGTATCACTCGCTGCTTGTTCTTTAATTTTACAAAGTTTCGAATTTAACAAAAGTTGATCCGCAGCACCATTGAAATTGCTATACTTGGGGATACTTAAGAATTTGGCTTAAAAATTCTTTCTTGGCTAAACCACATCTTCAAATTGTTTTTTTTTTGGTTTACAATGGAATATTTCGTTGATGTCAGCTTCTAGCAGTCACAGAAGAAAGGAAATTTATACATAGGGAAATTTAGTCACTTTTTAGTCATGAAATCAAACTGCTTAATTGATTACATAACCGGGTTTATTTTACTTTATTCCAAAAAATTACTTTTCTTTGTTAAAATTTCTAATCCAACTTGAGCAAGAGTACCCTTGGACCAAAACTTCTATACTCCTCATTTAAACACTTTAAATACACAAAAGCCACCCTGTACACCTTTAAGGGTACAAAAACTTTTTCCTTGTAATTCCTTGCAGTTTTAAACAGCTCTAGACTCAATCCAAAAACAAAAAGTCTTCATTGGTTACAAAAACTGACATATAAACTTTTGTCTTGGGAGGGGGGCAACCCTGATAAATTTAGTGTAACAATAGCCATTGTTTACAATATAAAAGCATTTTACTTGTGCTACTAAATTTTTTGGGGTGCCAAGGCCTCTGCCCCCCTGGCTTTTGAAATGGCAATGAGCTTTCAAGAGGCCAAGAAGCACAAACTTTCAAGAACTAATTTCAAATACAAAACCGAATTCAGACAGCTATAATATAGAAATTTTTTATGCAGAACCATATTGGTGTGACAGTTACTTGGGGCTGCCCCAGCCTCCATATTTGTTAATTAACACAAACAGGAAGCATATAGCCTATGGCATAGCAATTTATTGATTCTCAAGTGAATTGAGAAAGCTATAAAACTTCTCAAGAGTTACTCAAACATTCAAGTAACGATAGTATACATTTCCTAATAACATTTAAGTCTTTGAAAAAATTTATGTTGGTTTGAAAAGATAGCATACCTTGCGCAGTAACATTGATGATGACCTCTCCCTTTTCTTGTATAAAAATCCTTGTTTCAGTACCATCTCTGGACCTGGTGTCATCCTGCCGTGACAGAAAGAATCTTCCCCAGTAAACCAGACATCAGACAATCCAGTGTTATCCCTAGGACCTTGAAAGAGCATTGCTTTATTAAACCTTTATAAAAACTGTTAAAATGTCATTAAAGACCCGAATTGACCTTTGTCAAGCATTTCTGTGTTTGGAAAGAAATCAAATTTGGATGGGCTCTAGGCAAGTTTATTCAAATTGTCCTCTTAAAGTATACATCTTGGATTTCTTGCATCATCAAACACATTCTTGCAATAACTGAAACATTCCTATGGAATTAAAGGTACCATTTCATACATGAATTTCGATCACAAGGGAGGTTTCAGGGCACCTGTGAAATATTGCAAGGTAGTGTTATTTTCAATTTGGCATGTTAGAGAATTTTTCATCAACAGTAAAAAGTAAATCTGCTGATTCATTCAATACCTATCATTCTTGAGCATTTTTTAACTAGATGAAAATATATGGCATGATATCCTAACATTTCAAACAACAGTTTTTGATACCAGGAGCATAGATTGAAAAGCTTCAGAAGAATCTTTATATTGGCTGCAAGCAGTTTCTTGTAAGTATCTGGGTTTTCTGGTCAAGAAAAATCTTACACAGAGGTGGTATATTAAAAAACGGACATACAAAAGTTAATATTGACTCCTATCACACATAAACTCTTTATTTTCTAAGAATCAGTAAATTTAAGTTCAGGCTGACTGTTCTTAATTCTTTCAAAAATCTAATATGTTTAAGCAGTGCAATTGCTAGCTTTTTGGCTCCAGGGGGAAATGTTCAGGCCTCATTTGCCAACAAAGTGAGTGAGACAACCTTCATTTGCCTACAAGCTTGAAAATTCACCAAAAAAGCACCCACGCATGGCTAAAAATCCTTGTTTTGAGACGAAATGTTGCTTAAAATTACATTTTACAGTAGCTCATCCTCAGTTTTTTTGGCTTGTGTTCTTATAAAATTGTTCTTATAAAAAAGAGCGTAAATAAGTACGAAACTAGCTTGTAGTATATTTTAAAAAAATAACGTTTAGTACAATGTCAATAAATTTCCTATATTTTATGAACTATATCAATTCTTAACTTTTATGATTGCGAATCATGTTTCAGTGGAAAAGGGGACGCCCAATGTGGTCGCCAGACATAAATAATAATATTCACAGACTTTATGTGAGCATAGAAAATTGTGGTTATATGTAACGGGCAGATAAAGAATAGGCACTTTCTAGCCGAGTAAAGCTTATGCGATTGCGATTCGTAGGAAATAAAGTTTGAGTCCTCGGTATAATATTTTGAGTCAGAAAATAGGTGCTCAAATGTTTACAAAGTCGTTAGTTTTGTCAACGAAGGCCTGCGAGAGATATTGGTAAAGTGATTAAACTTATTAAAATTTGATTTGAGAAAACTTCACCTATCAACACAAAGTTTTGTCACCTCTTTCTGCAAACTTAAATTTCCAAACTACACTTTTCAGCTCATCCTGAAATTCATTAATGACACGAGCTAAAGATTTGATCTACTGAATAGGCATAGTTATTTGTAAACAAATTCAAATATAACGAGGCCTTTTGCAATGTGTTGACAAAGCTAAGAAGAAGTCAATATGCACGATATGATAATTAACTTTGTGGAATATTCTACACTTAGAAATTAAGCTGTGAAATTTTAAAAACTTTATAATACTTCTATATTAACCTCAATACCTGAAACTTTGTTAATTCTCCAAAACTTAGTCCAAATGAATGTTTATATGTCCTTTGCAACACAGCACGCTAACTGTTGCAATCACACACCTGGTATGCTCCTTGTGTGGCTGAAGTTGCAGCACGAATAAAAAATCCTTTTGAGCTGAAGCAAACTTTGATCTGATTACCAAATGTTAAAAGCTGGTAACTAAGCGCAAACCCACGTTTGGGTTCTTCAATGAAATAATAGACAGGATGTCGAATTTCGTAGTGTGATTAAGTTAAGTGACTAAAGTCATGGCTGTCAAGGCGCTACTTACTTGTTCCGCTTCCTGTTTCTAATAAAACTTTTAACTAAAACGAGGCTTGTTTAGAGGGGTTACACACTTTTTATTTATTATTTAAGAATAATTTAAGAAAGCTATAATGTGTCTCGGTTACACATTGTGTCACTTAAGAATAATCTTAGGTTCAAAATAAAAAGATTAAGAATGTTGAGGCTCAGCAAAATTTTTTATTCTTATAAAAAAGTGTTTAGCTTAGGGAGCGACAATAGCAAGGCAAGTGGCAAATGAGTGTTTAAGAAGTGCAAAGCTGGAAATATTTCAAAATCTTGACAACGTCTCCCCATCTCCGAGAATATTTCGCGGATAGTCGAAGGTTTGAGCTTATTTTCTAAACAAACCCAAAGATTCCATACTCTCTATGTCTTTACTAGAGGATAGGCCTAGCCGTAAGACACTGGAAGAGATGCCCTTTGAAATATGTCATTTAAATTCCTTTTTACCAACAGGGAACGCCCATTGTATCAAAGAACGCCAAACCCAATATTTGGCTACGTAAAGAAGATTTTAGAGCATTGAGCCACACAGTATAATTTGCTAAAATATTGCCGTCTCTCCGAAGGCCCCCTCAGCCTCCCGCTTCCGTGGTCCCTGATCTCTCCTAATATTTTCTAGTTGGATTTAGACGAATTACAAAATAAATCTGCCGAGATTTGGGGGGAGATGTGTTCCCGAGCTCCTCGTGCAGGGCAGAGACGGAATCGATCGAATCCTCTGCATTTGTTCCTCTTATTACTTGATCTATGACATTTGTTTCTATACCCCCCTGAAACCAAGAACATAAGCCAGGTAGGTAAGATTCTTTAAATACTTATTGAATTTGATGAATTCTATCGAGTACTTTAAGTCTGTTGTGCATTTTTGAATAACTGATTGACAATGACTTATGCTGTTTGAATTTCGCATAATCTTTTCCCTGTCATAAGAAATAAAATGGCTTTGGAGTTTTCGTTCAACAAAGGAGTTTCAGATAGAGACTGGGAATGCGGGAAAATGTGGAGTTGTGTGTTACGACACAGGGTTCTCTTACGGACAATATCACGTGACAATTGCATTATTGTGCTGTGATTGCATCAGCGTCTGTAAATATGCTGTTTTGCATAGCGTAATTCAATTATTTCAAGATTCTGCTAAGGGTATATTAAGGATTGTTTCATAAGTTGAGTTTAGTCTTGTCGAAACTTTTGTCGTACTGCTGGAAGCTTTGTTGCTAGTGGGGCAGTTACTGTTGTAAAATTTCTTTCTCCTTCTCGCATCTCAGGGCAAAGCAGATACAATAGTGTGATATAAATAAATATTAAAGTAATGGAAGTTTCTTCGTTGTTTCTGCCTTGAGATACGAGAAAAAGATGTTAACTACAAATTTTGTAAGAGGTTGTGGCATAAAAGGGCTGCAGCCATTATAGTACGTCTAGCTTCAATGCCAGAAGGTTCAATGATGCAAAGATTCTATATACTTTAAAGAATCTCCTTCCCATCAGTACCAAGAGAGCTTTCATGTTTTTTTACTTCCTGTTTTTCTTGTAACCTGTTAATTTTTTACAGTTTCAGAACCTTCAAGGCTTTTTCCGCTGTGGATTCAAAGCGGAAATTTGGGCTTAGGTGTTTTTTTGTTTTCCGAATAAAGAATTCCGCGTCGAGACGCTGTATTTCCAGCCAACAAAATTGATTGTCAGACTTAGTAGGCAGGCAACTGGAGAAACAGGTACTGGAATGGTAGTAATGGCAGTAGAGGAAACCTTTGGTTGGCTATTTTCACCAAAATAGGTCACAGGCCTGAGTCACAGGTAAACAATCGATTCGTTGATAAAGCCTGCGCACAATAACACTTGCTGATTATGTCAACTTGAGATGAATTTGTCATTCAAGCTTTTTCTATTGAGGTGCTTTGTACATGCATTAACTACATGTTTTCTTCATACAGTTAACCGATCTTCTAGCCCATAAACTACCGTCGTGTTTTGATAAAGGCTACTTCTATCTAACCAAAGTGAACAAGCCATTACCAAAATCTCGTTACAAAAGTATCGGTATTGAGAGTTTGCAAAGATACTCACCTCTGATCCAAATAGTTGCCGGCGCACTAAAATACCGTCCAATTTTTGGATGCTGATTCTCTTTCGCCTGGTCTTGCCTCATGACGAAACTTCGATTTTACTGCTTAGAGAGAGGACGTTCAGAAACACATCTCATTCTGCATAGGTGCTTATGAAAGTAATTGGTCTGCCAGGGGGTCAGCATGAACTCGAAAGCAGTTTCGACTGTCTGATATTTATTCAAAAACGGATGATTGACTAATGAGCAATGCTTGCTCATTTCTGCATTAATTATAATTACCATTATCGAGACCAATAGAGAGACATCGATAAGGCCCCTTCTTTTTTTTCGGGGCAAAAAGAATTGCACCATTTGCCAGTTTTTCGTGCAAATTTCATGTAAATACTCAGATCTTACAATGACAAAGATATGCCTGCAGTTTCTCCACAAATATGAAAAACACATTCTTATGAATCATTTTGCTAAAAACGTACCTTCACAAGACAAAACCGATACACCGGAAAAGGCAACGTGCATCTGCTTTTGACCTTATCCAAAGACTTTTTGTAATTCATCTTTCCAAGGCATCAGCCAAACCTCATCACCAACCTCTTCTCTAGTGAATATCCGTCCTGATATGAATACTAACGACTGAAAAACTGAAGTTTGGACAAACTTTGAACAATATATTTGCCATTTAACGAGGCATGTTCTGCACAGCGACTCAAAATGAAATATTAATTGGAAAATCTGAGTGTTTTTGTGTTCACTATTGGAAGATACTTTTAGGAGGGATTATGGCTCTTTCTATCAATTTTTGATAATTCAGTGGTAAGCTGACTTTCAAAAGATGCGATCAGCCATGATGCACACGAAGAAAAAATCATCCGATTTTAAAAAAAGGAAACCTTTCAACTGCGTAAAAATATCGTTGCTTGAATTCCTACATAGTACTGTTTCTGAACAAGCACCAGGCATAAACAAACAAACAGCCCTGCTTGACTTGAAATTTACTCAATCGAAAAAAACATTGTTGAGTTTAATGCTTCGGTAACTGAAATTATAATGTCTGAGCCTTTTTATTTCTTTTTAACTGCTTGCCCCGGTGCTTTAAAATGATGAACGTTGCACACATCTTGTTTCCTGACTGACTCGAATGTCCCCAATGTTCCTTGATTTTATATTTGTGAGTTTTCTTTAAGAAAACTGATGGAATCTCATGTTCCTTAAAAGCTTTGTTTATAGAAAAGCTTTCCAAGGCCAATATGAGATAGTAATTCATCTTGAGTATAATAGGGGCCTTAATGTAGATATACTTGTGGGTAACCTTTCGGGAGTAAGATGCTGTCAAAACTGGAAAGATGATTGAGAGTTGAGACTTTTTTTAAAAGAAAAGTTTATTATAGTAGTTATTATAATATTTTCCCATTAATTGTGTATACTGTATACGTCTTAAGCAATCTCCCAAACAGACGTGTTATCTCTTGCTCAAGAAGTCCTATATTAATGTTATACTCTTTTCCTTTCAATAATTCCCCACCTTAAATTCAATGTTGATGCAAGTTCCATAAGCACAAATGATAAGAATTACAATCCAACATTAATTCGGAGGGAAAAGGGGTGATTCGACTTGGGCAAACGTAAAGTAGAAAATTGCAAAGATTGCATTTTGTCTATAACGCATTTTGTCACCGGATTGAAGGAATTTTAATAATGATTCTACGCCTGTGTAAACAGAACTCACTATATTAAAAAATAAAGTGAGTGAGCCTCTATTTAATTTATACAAGTGAGTCTGGTCACCAGGGTAAATTAAGTCAAACTCAAGCTCAAAGCGATTGATAATTTTTATTTCTCTGAAAACCTGTCTTTATTATGGATGTAATAATATTCCCTCAAATTTGTGTATTGAGTTTGAGTAAACAAAGTAGTCGAATTAATCGGAACGCTCGAATTCATTTAAGGGCGAAAGTTCAACTATTAGCGAAAAATTTCCAACAAGGGCCAAACAAGAATGGAGAGCAGGTTTTAAATTTGAGAGTGTACAGATTTTGATATGCCTAGCTACTCTGCCAGGTGGTTGGGGCAGCAACCCACTCCCCCTCCTAACTTTATGATAGACCTCAACTTTTCTCAAAACGCTCCGCTGCGCTTTCAGTCCATTATCTAATAGAAGCTTTTAGGATACGGACTCAATACAAAGATCAATTCATCTTTTCAATTTATACAGCTTGATCAATGTTGCAGGCAGCATGCAAAACTAATGTATGCAGTGTGGCTCGAAGCGAAGAAGAATGAGTGAAACAAACAAGACAAGTTACACTTATCTCAATTTGGATTTTGATAAAACTGTACATCACCTCTCTATTTACCCCCCTGTACGTCACCTCTCTATTTACCTACCAATATATGCATAGAAATTCCAACAATATTCTATAAACGCTGTCAATCATACTTAAGAGATATGCTTGTCCTTTATATACTTGGATTGTCAAATGAAGACTATTAAATTGATGCATTGGTAATTAGAAATCAAAGAGAGCATGTGTTTTGTGAATTCCCCTTGGTTTCTTTGGGTAAGAATTATAACCTATTCAAACGGTTTCTATACTCTGTACGAAGCTGACAATATAGAAGAAGGATTAAATTCGATTATATGATAATAACAGTTTTGTCAAATCTGTATATAGGGACGGGCAAAGGATATAGTTACTGCTAGAAAATTTTCGAATTTTGATGCTTCCAGTTCCCTGGAAAAGAAAATGTTTACTAAATAAATCCTCCTTATCCTAAAGAGTACCGAAATGATGACGTAAAAAAATCTATTTTTAGATTTTATTAATTTTGATCCCAGAACCTGAAAGAACATCATGAATTACCTATAAATTTGCAAATTCAGTCTAAGGCATTACGAATTGGCTGAGATATGGTCACGTGAGCACCGGCTCTTGGCCCGTCAAACCTCTGTTATTTGGTCTTGGTTGATAAG